GCTGACAGGAACTGTCTTCACAGTTGTAGTGTGGCTGATTGACAGGTTGAGTGGCGGAAGTGAAGTCCCTTAAAGGAAACTTACCAAGAGAAGCTGGAAGTGAAACTGTTTGGACCTGATCAGTCGAACATCTAAATCAATCAGCAGACAAAAGACAGATGGAGAGGGTACACTTTTTCTTTTTCCAGGATCTGGCTTAGCTACAAGGCTTGGCTAAGCGCATGTAGCTAACGCTTTATTCTGCTGCCTTGCCTGCCTCCTTTTTCAAACCTCAGGATCTGACCCAGCATGGATAAAGACAGGTAGGACTGATTTAAAGCAATTTTTAGAAAAGGCAGAGAAGAATGGACATTCTGGGATTCACATGGAAAATAATATAATATAGTGTATTCTTTGTAGATATTTGTTAATTTGCATAGCTGCTCTTAAATAAACACATTCTTAGAAAACAAAATTTTTATGTATATTAAAATCTCCATTCTCCATTATTAAACAGGTGAATTATTTTTTTTAGGTTTGTGACTCCATATTGGACCATAGAAAACACAGATATGCCATCACAAAGCCTCGGAAGGGCAACATTTATGTACAAAAAGTAAACCTGTAGATGAAATTATGTATAATGAAATAATTTTTTGTTGTTGCCATTCATATAAATATACCGGTTTGATAACTTAATATACGTTTGATTGGTTTTTGGTATACATCTTTTTTGAATTCATAACACCCCCCCCCTCCCCCCCCGGAGAAGCCGCCACTTGATTAAACACTTTTAAAACAATATATTTCTAGCATGAAATGTGTATTGGTTGGACGTTTTTTTGTTTTTATTAAGTTCAAGAGGAAAATACGATCTTAAAGGGGAAAATAATCTTGAAAGTAAACTAAATATATTAGAATATTAGATTGACAGCTGAACAAAATTCACTCTGTCAAAACCCATTTTGCCAAAACTTCTAAGTATTTATCTTCTCATTTAAAATCATACTCCATATTCCTTCCTTTATTTTAAGAAACAGCTACTCATGTTGAATATATTGCTAAATGGGGCTGTCAGTTCAGAAAAATATCACTTTAAATGAACCGAATCAGCATGGACTGATGCTGGAGGCTCAGTGGGTAACTCCCTCTTCAAGACATTTTTAGAGATTCAAAAAAAAAGCCAAGCTGGATTTTTGTAGCTGAATTAGTTGCTGTGTGCCTCTGCTCTGCTGGGAGAAAAAAAAAAAACTACTTCTATTGGTTAAATTAATATGTTAGTTTGTCACAGTTTTTATAGGGTTTGGAGGTTCTTCCCACAGTTTATTTAATGTAGTTTTATTGACAAAAGAACTGCAGCTCTTCCTTTTCTGTTCAAATAAAATATCTAAACAATTTTCCTGAGTGAACTTTATTATAAAAAGCTTGAGATGAATCACTTATTGATTTGATTTAATAACTGAAATCATATTGTGTGACTCTCCAGTAGTACAAAGTGTTTATCATAAGAGCACATGATTGCAGGTGATTAAAAATGTTCTGAAACCCATTATGGAAACACATCTTTAGGTTTTCCTGCCCTGGCTAAAGAAAAGCTTTACTATAGCCTGATGCAGTCACTCCCATTTTTCACCAGGTGCAGTGATGGTTGATGGGTTAGAGCAGATAAAGAGTAGTTAATGGGTGCGTTGCAAAGTGATCTCCAAAGATTTTAGCCCAGTTGTTAATACGGTGCAATCGTGTCACAGAGTGCTCGATTAAAATGTGGGTTTGGTATTATTTTTCAGTCTAACAGCAGCCCCAAGTCTAAAAGCAGTTCTGAATTGCAGCGGTACTGCAAACTGATGCATTTTTCACCCTTACTGTGAGAAGATGAAGGTAGATACAAACAGAAAGGACCTTCTCTGTTCATCTAGAATAAAATAAAAATTATCGCAACCCATCACCTATAAGATGGGTTGGACTCACAAACAGTAGAGTGGTTTCTTACAATGAAATCATTCCATTTAGTGCTACTGGTGTTAGCATCCTTTTAAGCCCTATCCTCTGAGCCGTGCTCACAGCTTGGTTGGGACGTATTTAGAAGCTGCTTCAATGGCCTCCATCTGGCATTCTGAATTTCAGTGGCACTGCCTGTAGATGGCGCTGTACTGTTTAAATCAGTTAATTTCACTTGGTGCTGAGGTGCAACGTAGGCTAAAATGGACGATTGAAACAACATCTGGATGGACGCTTGAGGTAAATAGCATTTTTTTAAATCATAATCAACAGGATTCTGGTGTTTTTGGTATATGTATAAGAGTAAATTTGGTCCCACACTAAGTAAGAAGTCAGAGTGGGACCGAATGTACACTTAAAGTGTTACTTTAACACTGCAACATTTATTGTGTACTTTTGAATTGTAATTCTATAAATGTTCAGTCTACAAATCTTTTGTATGCTTAGTGATATTCTTTCTAAATGACTTTGAATAGAACCTCTGCTGTTCTTTTACTATACTTCCAACTTCATAGGTACAACCCCCTGTAACCCTGAGAGATATGTGACAGATAATGGATGGATGGGTTACCCCAGATAACAGCACAATAAGACAGTTATGGTAGTATCAGTGCATAATACAGAGTATGCAGTGTCGGGGCTCAGAACGTAGGACCCAGAATTCAAGAAGACAGAACAGATTTTGAAACAAGCGTTTATTGAAAACGGCATGCACCTGCTCGTCAGCTGGGGTGGGTTCACTGGATTCTCAGCAGAAATGGAGACTCAGGTCTGTGACTTCAGAACTCGAGCATGAAATCCACCAACCTGGCAAAGGTCCTTCTGAGCCCAGAAGAAGGAGTGAAGTCCAGAGGACCGGCACTCCGTAGCTTGTTACTGAAACGGAACCAGAGATCCAGGAGAGAAAGAGGAGCTGTGACCAGCAGCAACCAGAAGAGGCAGAGGAACCGAAGGATCTAGAAGGATCCAAGCAGTGGTCAGAAGACAGGTCCAAGGTCAGCAACAGATGACAGTCCAGAAAACAGGACCGGCAAAACAAAGCAGGAGCGGCCAAAACTCAGAATTCTGGGAGGCAGACACAGGTAAGGAACAGGCAGAACTAAACACAACAAGGTACACTAGAATTAGAAGCTGGGAACAGGTGGCTCTGATTAGAGGTAACGAGTGCAGGGCAGAGCAAAATCGATGAGAGAAAAAAGATTCAAACCCAGCCTTTGGTGCGAAGATCATGACACGCAGATATGTTGCTATTTAGGATGAATCATTTTTTTTATTTAAAGTTCAAAAGCTTCCAGCAATTTTTGACAAACAGAAATTGAATGTAGGTTTCCAGGTCAGTTTATGGTCATTTCTAACCCCTCTGGGGTATTCCTTGGTCTTCATAATGCTGTTTGTTCATTAAGCTTCTCTAACTAGCTTCTGAAGTCTTCGCCAGATAGCTGTATGCAGACATTAAGTTACACATAGGTTTATGCTTTATTCTATCCTGGGACAGTGGAGTAAAAAGGGGTGAATAGAAATGCACATCACATTTTTAGATTTACATTTATTCAGAAGTTTTGGAAGGATGGTATATCAACCTGTTGGTCATTCCTCCTTACAGCCAAATAGTGCATTTGTCCTCTAATTGTGGGTGAGTTGCATTATATGAGCATTCATATTCATTACGTTTATTTAAAAAGACAGATAAAATACACTCGGATTTGAGGGCATAGTGTAAGAAAATCTGAAGGTTAGGTTCTGTGAAGGCTTTCAGACATGCTATTTGAGGCATAACAAATGTTAGCTTTGTTCTGGAATACCGTACAACCAGGTCTGTAAACAGCGTCTCTGTACGGGAAGAGCCGAGCAATTTCTTTTTTACAAAAGCAGCTGCAGGTGGTGTGAGATGAGAATCAAGATCACAGAGGGGCAACCACAGAACAGCTGCAACAGTGAAAGGCGTGAGAGCACAACATCAGGGGGAGAACCAATTGAGATCTATAGCTCCAGGGAAGATGTTGTGCTGCTGTAGAAAGTGAGGCAAACACAGACCAATTTACTAGGAGGGAATACTGTTTCTCTAAAAAAAAAAAAAACACAACAACACATAGGAGTAGACCTGGCCCATTCTTCACTCTGCCATCCAATCTCAGCTCGGAAAGATGACTGAAATCATACACAGTTTTGCTGTTAGGAGGGAAAAAAATCCAATGAGTCACAAAAACAACCAATAATGGTGATAGAATAGGAGAAATTTGGCCTGATGTTGTGGAATATTAATAAAAATAACATTTTAGGAAGAAACAGACAAGCTACACATCTAGATCCTCACTTGGTGTAATATCCTGATCATATCCAGGTGATAAATCATACTGTTTAAAGGCTGTTTATTTCTCATAAAATGGTGCTTTATTTGTAAGGAAAACACATTTGTTAATGGAGCAGAGGAGAGGGACATATGAGCAACACAAAAAGCCCCAAACTATCAAGACTTTTCTGCCAATGTCCAACACCTTTTGCAACCACAGACCTTGGTTTGGTGTCACTTTCCATAAAAAGGAATGAAGTTTGAAGAAACAAATTTATGGCTAATCTAGAGTGATTCATTTTACTGACAGGTGGCTCATTTTCCACGAGAAAATGGTCCACTACCTCAATAACCTGGCAACCTCTTTCGATGGTAGTCCAAAGATTGGTCACCAACACGCCATGCCTCAACCAGGATTTGTTGTAAGTGAGCCAAAGTGAACAGTCTGAAACAAGCTAATCCCATAGGTGTCCACAGGCGTTGATGTAGAGCTTAGTGCCAGACACGTTGCCAATTTTTCCACAGGCTGCCCATAATCATCATATTTTCTCCATCCTAATGTTTCTAGCACTGGCAGAGAGGATTTGACAATTTTCTCCTATAGGCTCAGCCTTCTTTCTAGTCCACTTAACTAGATTTTTCAAACATGAAACCTTTCTAGGTGAATTAACCAAATTAACCATAAACGTTATTGTCAAAGTGAATGTTCATGAAAAAAGATACAAGGCCCAAATTCCTCACTTTTACAGCTAAGTTTATTTACTTTAATAAGGTACTGGTCAATAATTTTTTTTATACAAATACAACAATATATGGAATAAGCTATGATTATTTAATAGACTGAGGTCAGGTCAAATGTCCTTGAGAATGCCTGTGAAAATGGTCCACTAAAGTTACAGCATTTTAGTATAAAAACACAAACTGATTTGGCAAGAAAAATAAATCAATACATACAAAATGAATAAATTTAACCTAGAAAACACATTAATAATAATATAAATGATAAAAACTGCCTGTATGGGTCACTAAGAGGGGAGGTTGTACAGTTCTCATTGGCTGGGGGGTTGTGTAGTCCATAAACTGATACTTCTGATAATGAGCCATTCTTTTTGGCTTGCTGTCACCACGATGCGAATGCATTCAATGTCAAAAGAAATCTTGTGATCCACATCTTGAACTTCGATGTTTCCATTTTTAAACTCCCCTAACGTGATGTAAGAAGAGCACTGTTTTCCTTTTTTAGTCCCAACTAATTTTTCCCCTACTTCCAGAGCTCCGTGGTGAAGAAAGTCGTTCTGACGGTCATCAGACCCAGTAGCAATCTTAATTTTGCTAACTTTGGCCGATTTGTTAAAGACTATGACAAAGAAATCTCCAGTAGAGGGAGGCTTTCCCCAAAAGTATTCATCCACCGTGCTGTAGGCTTTGGTTGCGTCATAGTTCTCAAAGACATTTATGTTTGTGTAAATATTGGCAGGGGGGTTGTCAGGAATGTCAATGGAGTCTTCCTCAAAGTCGTCGTCCTTCAGTTTGTTCTCCACTCCTTTATAGGAGGAGTAATAACCCATGTGCTGGAAGAGCGAGGGTTTGAAGCGAATCACATCCTTTTGAGCCAGCAGTCCCCTGAAGTGGATGAGGAGCCAATCACAAGGCATTTCCTGGTAGAACATGAGGAGAAAATGAGCCAGGCGAGGCAGGTCTCTGGAGTGGTAGAGCTTACCGATGTAGCCCAGCTTCGAGAACTCCATCATCACCCAGTAGGAGCCTTCTCTGGAGGTGATCACCTTTTTCAGCGCTGTCAGAAAATTCCTGGAGCAGCGCACGTCGTCCTCCAACATCATGTAGAAGTGTGACAGGTTTGTGCAGAAGTTCAGGAGGAAAGCATAGTCCACGTTCTGCTTGGAACGGAAACGGACTCTGTCGTCCGGGTCATTGTAGTTCCTCTTTAAGCCGTCCAGAGAGGGGTAGAACTCCTCTGGGGCCTGGATGACCAACAGCCGTCCCGCTATAATGTGGTGAGCAAACTTCCTGGTGATTTCCTGAACCACATTCTCACACCAGACCAGATCAAAGTCAGCAAGATGGACCACAACCACAATCTCCTTCAGCTCCTCATAGCTTGATTGGTCAAAGATGGATTTGATGGTCTCCAGAAGGTAGTTTCCTCTTTTTCTTTTAACTGACGACAATCCAATAGTCAGAAACTCTGTGAAGATATTAGAAAAACATATTTTAATAAATCAAGCGAATGTATTGAAATTCTGTTACTCATAACACATGGCATTTGTAAAATATTACTGAATTTTCAATGGTGAGGACTAAGAAAAAAGTTTTAAGTTATTTGTTAAGTAAAAGATTGTTTCATTTGTTTTTGCAGGTCTCCCTGAAACTTGGGAGACTCCTTGTTACCAAACTAAAGTTTATTTTTTAACTCTTCATTAGAGCATAGGGTCTTTGTGTGCAGACGCTATAAGATTACCATCATGGTAAAGACCAAGAATACCACATAAAAGGTTAAGCAGCATTAGATTTAGCTAGTCATTTTCTGAGAAATTTATAACTAAATAAAGTATATGTTTTAAGCAGCTTTCACAGATAAAACAATAACAAAGCGCTCTACATAAACCAATAAAAAGGCAGTTTAACTAGTAATTGTAAATTAAGACAAATGAAATAAATTCACAATAAAAATAAACTTTCAACAATGGGTCTGTTTAAAAAATAAAACTTTACCTCCTTAAGAGTCTACAGAGTTAACTGAATGTAGCTGCAGAGGTAGACTATTCCACAGCCTTTGTGCCATGGACTGAGAGGCTCGATCCATCTATGCTTTCAGTCTGGTTTATAAAACTAACAGAATCTAAGCGTCAGAATAGAGAAAATGAGAGGAGGTATATTTTGTAAAAATAAATACATAAGTAATGTGTGGCGTGAATCTTTAGTGCTTGATGTGCTATATGGACATTTTAAAGTAGATCCTTATCTCTACTGGTAGCCAGAGCATTACAGTAATCTAACAGCAATGATAAAAATACATAAATTATGTTTCTAAATCAGTTTGGGAGACGGCGCAACAAAATGTTCTTTAGGAGACAGATTTCATATGCGAGTGAAAGCTTAAAGATTTGAATAATGCACCTAGCTTTCAGACGCTGGATTTTGGAGTTAAAAGAAGTGAAGCAAGATTCTGATCGATTTATAACAAAGTGCAGGAGATACTTTAATTATTGTCTCAGTTTTTCTGGAGCTCAAAACAAAGTAATTGCTGGAAAGCCAATCGCCAATCCTGAATAAACAGTGAAACAGAGTGGACAGACTGTCCAGCTGATGAGGCTCAAAAGACATATATAGTTTAATGTCATCTGCATAAATGTTACAAAATCATTAAATGATTTAATAACACCGGCTAAAAGAAGTATATGAAATCAATCCTCGTTACTCTCTCTCAGTTGGAGATTTTCTACCATGTTCATAGTTCATTGAGATTATTATTGGTTCCCATTAATCACTCCTAAAGGCCTATTAGGGGACCTAATTCAACTTTAAATAAGTAAAAAAATAAGTTCATGGTTAGGTGAGTGTCTGAAAGGTGCATAAATCTTATTTTTTTCTCCACCACCAGGCATTTTGTATAAACTGGCCGACAAACTCTCATATGGTCACAGCTTTGTAAACAAAAAAGTTCTAGAAGTATCCTCTTTTTTTCCTTATACACAAACTTTACCGTCTCTATTTAAAGAGAAAATGCTTTCTTGTGGTAATTATTTCATTCAAGCAATACTTTGAGTCTTTTTTTAATGGTCCTGTCATGAAGTGTTACTTTCACATCCTCAATGAAACCAGTTATAAGAATTGCATGGTTTTACCATGGGAAGAAAATGACTTAAAAAATCGGCAACACCTTACAGTACATGTTTCTTAAAGGCACACTATGCAACATTTTTCAATTAATTAATGTGTTCCATAACGTTTTGGATGATTAAATGAGTCATTTCAGGTTGAACAAAGGTATTCTCGGCCGCCCTGGTGGTCTGAGGGGGAAATACCGCACTTGCAATTGCAGGAGCCCTCGGCCCGCACCCACAGGCTCAGAAGTCTCGTGAGAGTCGGTCTTGCTTTACGGCGAGAACTGCTACACGCCCCAGTTAAAAGCATGCTCGTTGCTAGCACAGTGGCGATCTTTGTGCAGTTATCATGGCGGAACCAGTGTGAAAACAGCAAAAGCCCATGTTGGAGCAGGCAAGAAAGAGGAAAAGGGCTCCGGACAGAGAGAGGAGTCGTACACGGGTGAACATCGGGCAAGCTTTTTCCGAATGGCGAGAGCTAAAATAAAAAGACGGCTGCAAGGCTGACGCGGACCTCGCGTTTCTGCTGATGCGATTGTAAGTAACATTGGAATGGATTCTCTCTCTCTGTGTGCATGTTCATACTTTCACTGTGTTAGTCATTGGTTGCGTTCGCCTGTCTGCTAAGCTCAAAACAACCGCGCCTGGCTTGACGGAGAAACCAGGAGAACAGCTGAGCATATTTACGACAGTGCACTTTTACTTTCGCCCTCTGGGGGGAGCCTCGCTGGAAAATCAACACCGGTTGCATAGTATACCTTTAATTGTTAATTGCTGTGTTGTAAATGTTAACCTCCATAAGCTGGCCAGTTAAGGATTATAGAAGCAACAGGACATTGGCAAGTGCATTATGGATAGATGTATATCTACATAAAAGGAAGGAACCAGTGGGAGAACAGAATAACCAAAACAGGGCACTGTTTTGGTTATTTGGAAAAAAACAATGGAAAGTGACAGGCAACATGGAAAAAGGGAATCATGAAAACAAAACTGAAAACCAGTTCCAATAGGTGAGGTTCCAAAGAGTCCTATGGGTCAGAAGGCTGACAGTGGTAATGCAGGACGCTTAGGATTGAGGTAAAGTATGATGACCCATGGAATCGTGTCTGGAATTCGACTAAGGAGCATGAGGAACCCACAGAGTCTAACCAATGGGATTGCATGACACAAAAAAAAACTGAATGCTGGAACAAATAGAGGAGTTAGGAAGCCAGCCACTGGTGGGTCTTTGTCCAAGGCCCCAGAAACTGGGGTACAAGGCAGTAGCATAATTTTGAGGTAAGGAGTAATACACTGAAGATGCATTCAACAGGCCGGGGGAATGTGCCTCAGTTACTGATTTTTCAGCTAAGCCAGAAAGCTGCCTCACTGAAATGTTGGAAGCTAACTGAGGGCGTTTCAGAGCAGGTTCAATCAAACTTTGCTAGAAGGAGTGTTGGGCTTAGAGGGAACAAGCACATTACACATGGCATACTACGGACTACCAGATAGCAAGATGGTGTTTTTCTCCGTGGAGGCAGAAAAGAGCCTTAACTCCACAAGCCACTTTCCGAGTTGGAGTTGTGAACAATTTTCAATTAAGAATGACGATCAGAGCTTCAACTCATTTTTTTTATGCACTGCACAGAAAAAGATGCTGTGTTTTTCTTTGCCTGCCAACAAAAGCCCAAACATCTGCGATCCATAGCAAAATGATAGACTTTAAATTGTTTGAAATTAAGCACCCCTTCACAGACAGACCCATAGCAAAATTTGCTTCATCATGTCTTTGCACCTTCATATTATTCTAACACATACCCATATGCTCTGGAGAAAAAAAGTGTTGAAATCCTTGCATCGATAAAGGAGCATATATTTTATTAAGATTTCTATTTAGTGCGCTGTTGAAGTGGTGTTTTTTTCACTTTACAGAAGCTATATCTTGCCTGGGGTTCTGTTCAGCTATGACACTATGTTTAAAGGGATAGTTCGGGATTTTTGACATGAATCTGTATGGCATCCCCATCACCAGTGTCATGCAATCACACTGACTTACCCCTGGCAGCGTCCTGTGAGCAAAGTTCTCGTCCAGCTTTGGTCAAGCCGAAAGTAGTCCGGCAGGTTTGCTAGACCCAGCGAAATAAAACGTTTCTCTTCCCAAAACATTATGTGTTCAAAAGAGTGATATTTTTGCATCCCAAAAACATTGTAGTGGAAAAAGTCACACGTCGTTATCACTTGGTCCTATTTTCTCTCTGTTCGTATCAGTGCGCGCCATGACCTGACAGCTAGGGCCTACTAACCTGACAACAGCCAGATGCATGGGGGGGAGGTCTACCTGTTTGATTCGCGATTGTTTACTCCTGGGGAAGATGTCTGACTACGAGAGCGACGAGGAAAACATCGACTTCCACTTAGAGCCAAAGGGATATCTTTATGAACCCGAGTACACTGACGATGAACTTCGACAAATGGAGTTAGATCGGGCAGAAAGAGAGAGGGTGGACAGAGAAGTGATGGAAGCTGAAGCCGGAGCCGCAGGAGCCTCAGCTGGAGCTGCGATATCCAGGGTGGCCGACAAATCATGGTGCACTTGTTTCAAGTGCGAATTAATGCAGACAGAGGTGGATGCTACTGTTGCCACGAGTGGGATTTAGTAATGCCCGAGATACAGAACCTTTCCATTGATGAGGATGTCGGAGTTGCAGCAGCTGCTGTCTGCATCACTGAAAGCACTGAAATGAGCTGGAAAAGTTGAGCTCGCTGTCAGAATGACGGCGAGAGAAAATAGGACCAATTGATAACGACGTGTGACTTTTTCCACTACAATGTTTTTGGGATGCAAAAATATCACTCTTTTGAACACATAATGTTTTGGGAAGAGAAACGTTTTATTTCGCTGGGTCTAGCAAACCTGCCGGACTACTTTCGGCTTGACCAAAGCTGGATGAGAACTCTGCTCACAGGACGCTGCCAGGGGTAAGTCAGTGTGATTGCATGACACTGGTGATGGGGATGCCATACAGATTCATGTCAAAAATCCCGAACTATCCCTTTAAGGGGGTATTGGCGAGATTGCTACTAGCAAATCCATGTTTTCATTCAATATGGACGATATTCTTGCTCTGGCATTTTAGTGGTTGACTGTATTTCTTCTATCACTTTTGCTCTTTTTCTCCTTCTAGACTCAATCCTGGCTAAGAGCTCATCAGACTATGTTTCTCAAGTCAAAACTTAATGGAATTTGTTGGGTTTCATTAGATTCCTCAAACCTATTAACCATTTTATCTGTATGGTATAATTGAATCAACTCTATCAAGTGCCTTGAGAGGTCATGTGTAAAATATTGCACTAAATAAATACCATGATTTGCTTTAGATATTATGTAATTGTTCTGTATACCGTTTTAATTTCAATACTCCGGCACTAGCAGGTTGTTTCAGTGGCTTCTACTGTTTTCTGAGAATTCTTTTTTTTTTTTTAAATAGACAATAAGCTGGTTTGTGTGTTCTTGTTTGCTATTCGTTGCTCTGTTTCTCTTATTGTTTAACGTGGCTATTTTGTTTAGACACTGTTGCCATTCCTTTATAGTGTACTGTATGTAAGAGTTTAGCTCATAGCTCTAGGTAACTCTACTGGCTCGCTACCAAATCCTAGGGATACTAGCCAGGAGAAACCATTACAACTATTATGTCCACCGTCATGGGAATGTGAGTTTCCTTAACAAGATATATTAAATCACAATGCAACTTGGCAATAAAAAGCATAGGGGATGTTAATTATGCTCACTAAATTGGAATAACAAAGGACATGCACATTAACATGGGAAGTTAATTTTTCGTCTACCTAGGACAAAAAGAGCATCCATGTCATTATTATCACAGTTTTTCCCTTTTTTCTGTTTTTTCTTCTTTTTGTTAAGCATGGTACAGTAAGAGCTAATTTTGAATCAATCTTACTCAAACCTAACTGGACAGTTTTTCTTTTTTTTGATAATTCACTTTACTGACTCTATAGCTATATAAATATCTATGCTGGTGTATTTTTAGGCCACTGAAGGACATAGGGACCGCTTTTCATCATTTTGCTTCATTGTGTCTCTATTCTCCAATTTGGCATTATAAGTTCAACCTCTTACTTTATGTTCTATCTTTTTTTTCTCCTCATGGTAGCTTTATCAGGTCTGCTCATATTTAGTTTTAACACCATCCTGGAGAGAAATATCAGCTGGGCTCCTGCCATTATCACCTTCACTTGAAGATGATAGAGTTTGTTTATCTGTTTTTTTAGTGTTTAGTCCTGTTTTTGCCCTATACATAGCTCTGGGCTCAACTTTTACTGTGACTAACTGTATGTACTAACTCTCTTACCTCAAAAACTGACTTTTCTTTGCTAGACATAGCCAACTGTGGCACTAGATACTGTTATCTTTTCAAATATAGAAAGTATTCATGGATCAGTGCCCCATATTCCCTTTGTCTGTCTTCTTCTGTCTTCCTGAACCTCAGTCAGCCTTGGAAAAAAGGCTGCTGATACTAATCCTGGCTCTGCTGAAGTTGATTTGCCATTAAATGTAAGTTGTTCTCCACTTTGGCTGGCTGAATGCTCGGTCTGAAGGATTGTTGTAAAGTCAACAACAGAATGCAAGTGAATCTCTACTGTGGCCACATGCTCATTAAGGAGGAATCCTGCAAAGTAAATGACTAGGTGCAATCAAAAGTTTCTAAACTGATCAGATTGAATTGTCTCTATAAAGTGCTTTCAGAGAACGAGTTGTAAATTGGTATTATATAAATAAACTGAACTGAATTGAGTCATGAGTGTAGCTGTTTGTTTCCATTTGCCTTTTTATTCTCAATATAATGAAAATCATCTCACCGTGGGACAGTAATTCTCTTTGATTCCATAAAAGGGGTGAACCCATTTCTTCCATTGACTACATGAACATTGATTTTCCATCTTAACAACCCTTATCAGTAGGAGTTATAATTGGAGCATGATTCAGTTGAGGTGGGCTCTTCGCTGAGTTTAATACAAAGACAAAAAAATCCCTTTGAATTATTTATTTTTTTGTACTTTTTCCTGATGGGTCAATGTGAAGTTCTTGTTAGCGGGAAACCATAAAACTTACTCTTGCGGTTCAGAGGCGTCCCAGCGAGATAGCGGTATGTGACATTAATGGTGCCGGAGAAGTTACTGAGGTCTCTGAAGGTGTGAGCATATCGCTCTGAGCTTGGTGGATGGACCGAAGCTTCCCTGAGCTGCCTTTTATCTCCTTCCTGGAACATGAAAAGCACATTACAACAGAAGAGGAAAAAAAAAAAAAAGGGCACACCAAAAAGAAACACCCAAATGAAAGCTTGTATTAAGACTTTGAATAATTTAAAAATAAGAAAAAAAGGCACATTTCTTTTTTTTTTTTTATGCTAAAGAAAATGTGTATGGACACAGATGAGTTAACCGCTTAGTGTTTGAGGACAACAGAAAAACCCTGAAGCCTCCAGAGGCATGTTGCAGAATTCAGCAATGAGACATAAAAAAGGCACCAGCGGGTCCAATATGCAAACTGCCTCTTAATAATTGAGATAACGAACATAGATTGTGTGATCATGCGGGCATGAATAAAAGATAAATCATCTAGATGATTTCCACTTGGGTCGAAATCATGAACATTTCAAAATCAACCAATTATAAAAGTAAAGCATGGGAACCAGAATAAAAGACATTTGGGTCAGAAACTTTTTTGATCTGTTTAGACTTCAGCAAAGAAGGTAGCTATCAAATTTTGTTGTAATGCGAGTTCTGACAAATGGATAAAATGAAGTGCAATGGATTTTACTAACCAGGACGTAGCCATCTTCCATGTAGAGGTTCAGAAAGAGGAGGAAGGTAATGAGGAAGCCGAGGAAGGGGATGGTGGTACGTTTCCTCAGACACCTCATCTTGTCCAGGGATTTCCACACCAGCCTCATTCTCACACTGCCACTTGGATCTTCTGCAGACATGTAGAATAAAAACACATTTATGCTGCTTAAAGAGGAAAAATCTGAAACACAGTATTTAAGGATATTTTCATTTCAAGCTTTAAGAAAAAATATTGTAGGATTAAACCAAGAGCAATCTGTGTAACTGTCCATAAGAAATGAGAAAATCATTGATTCCTCTGCAATCCTCTAATGAGTGGTGATAAAGGAAGGAGTGTGGGAAACATGGAGCAAACTGTTTGGTAAAGCAAGCGAGAAATATCCTAAAGGCATTTCAGAACATGAAGAACTGTGAGATTTCATCAAAGAAGAACAGAAAAACAGAGGTGGTTTGATAGTTATTTGTTTTTAACTCCCATCCAATGCTGCAACACTATGGAGTAAATTTTGTTCCATTAATAATAAAAAAGCATTTTGTAAATGGAAATTTGCAACAACAAAAAAAATACATGCTTGAATGAAACTGAAAAAATTCTTGATAAAGAATTTTTAGGAGTAAATTTGCTGTTTTATATAACTTTGCTGTTTAAGAACCTTCTAAAAAGTAGAGGAGGCCAAGTCTGAAGCCATTCTATGGGTCGGTTAATCACTAATAATGGTCATTTAATGGTTGATAACATCTGGGTGATTTAATTCACTTTATACTTATACTATATATACTAATAAATACTGTATGGAGTGAAATAATTGTATGAATTCTTTGGGGGTTACCAGTTAGTGGCGTTGTTAATTTTGGGAACCCATGTACTAATACTTTCACCGATATTATTCTGCATTATAATAAAGAGATATTCTGCAAGTTTTACAGAAAAGATCTATAAAAAATAGCCTTTTTTATTTAACTTTTTATGACTAAAACACCATTTGATGAGCAGACTGACACCTCAGTAGTTCAGAGCCGATGCATCTATAAGCCTGTAGCCTATTTTATTTTGGGTCGGAAGTTGCCACGCTGTGCACCTGATGTGACATCAAGTGTGTCCATGTTGAAAATGTATGGTCTTACCACACCATAACCATTTTAAAAAGCACTTAAAAACAGCCAATGAAACAAAGTGCTGTGTATAGCTACAGACAACAAGAAAAGCAAACAGTCTAAAAGAAAAATGAAACAATGCACATAAACGATTAAAACAAACAATGAAACCTGTTTATAACAAGTAATATCAAAAAATAAGGTTAGTTGAAAATGTTGAACAATAATAACCCTAACCAATATCCAATTGAGTTTTAAAGGAACTGAATGAAGGAGCCTTTCTTATGTGAATTACAACATTCAACTATTAGATATGCTATTAAACTGTAAAAGCATTTTTAAATAGTTAATTGTCCCATTAAATAAGAATACATTTAAAATTCTAAAATCAATAATTAAATGTTATTTTAGTTTTAATTTTTATTCTTATTCAATATTATTAGGTGCAACTTGCAATTATAAATGCACATCCAAATAAGTAAATGTCCAATTATTTGATAAGAAATAAATGTAAAACTCTAGTTAAATAATTGAATGTTATTTAAAATATGCATTATTTTTTTATATTATGTAATTTAAGATATGCAATGAACAATTAATAATTAAATGTTCAATTCAATGTTAAAAATCGGATATCACAAAAAAATCGGAATTGAGCATCGAGGCCTGCAGTGTGAACGTAGCCTATGTGTCGACAGATTCTTCAGCAGGAGCAAGGGAAGAGTTAGAATTAACCCAACAACCATTCAGACAACCACTACTCCCATTGTTAATATGAGATTCATAGGAGGTAAATTGTAGCAAACAGATCAGAGACATAACACACATACCAGTTTTTCCAGATTTCGGCTGTATGGCAATGTTCACAGAGCAGCAAACAGAGAAAAAGCTTGAATAACAGCTGCAGATGTGACTAAAAAAAACAACACTGCTTGCCTTTTGTTTTTTTTCCAACAATTAAGCATCTGAACGTGCTTTTGTTGCTCAGCCTCAGAGAAGCCTAATAGAATACAAACTGGCTCTACATTCAGTTCGATGGCCACACTCACATCGATCAGTCCCACTAAGACTCAGCGGCGCTGGGGATTTGGCTTGTCAATACCTTTTTGTGCGCACTTGAAAACTGCATTTAATGTGTCCATCCTCAACAGACTGCTCTGTGTAGGTAGAAAACAAATGAGGACTAATGTGGGTGGTCCCTTTATAGCAAAGATCTACGATGAATAATATCTGCTAGGTAAAGGAACACACAAAAATGTGTGCTTTATTCAGTGATCACCTACATTTGTTACTCTGTTTAAAGGGATACTTCTTTTAAAAATGTCACCATGTGTTAAAAACTAAGATCAAATCTGGTGAGGCAGTTTTCTCACTGTCAAGATGGAGATGTATCAGCCGTAACCTTAGAGGAGCCGTTACTGCAGCAGGTCAGTCTGAAAAGTGTTAGAAGGGCTGCAGCTGTTTTAGTTTCATCATTCTTCAGAGAGAGATGGATAAATATCTTTCCAGGGCAGCATGTCTCAGCAAATTCCACAATTGGACAGACTGAAAAATGTAATGAGAAACTCCAGGAATGGCCGGGTCTGTATACATGACGGCCAACCCATTTTTCTTTTGAAAATAATGAAAAATATATAAGAAATAGATAAAAACAATTGGGAAACAAGCCATTTCCCAACAACAACTAAGAAAACAAGGAACATAAAATGAAAAAGAACTCAATTTTTTTGTATCGGTATTTTATTATTTGATTTTCCAAAAAAAATGGAAAACAAAAAGACAAACTGTTTTCCTTTATCGGAAAGTTTAAGCCAAGATGAAAATTTGAAATCACAAATGACGATAGTGTTTAATTCTTTATTTTGGATTTACTCTCCATGATTTGGTTAGTTCATGGGGATGTTCAGTGATTGGTTGGAAAGTAAAACCAATAAACACAAACCATTCCAAAATGTAAAAAATGCATGTAAAGGACTTTGGATGACTTTGGTCTCATCGCAGGAAACACATGAACAGAAAGATGCCTTTAGCCAAAGTTAAGTGGGTAGCACTGCTCCAATGCAGCAAGAAGTTTCTGGGTTTGATTCCTGGCCTGGGGTCTTTCTACATGGAGTCTGCATGTTCTCCCTAAGCATGCATGGGTTCTCTCCGGGTACTCCAGCTTCCTCCCATAGTCCAAAAACATGACTGTTAGGTTAAAGAATTGTTGTTTGTCTCTTTGTTGCGCTGGGATGGAACAGCGACCTATACAGGTTGTACCTCGCCTCTCGTCCATTGTCGGCTGGAGATACAGTAGGCACCCCCACCCCTCGTGACCCCGGCAGGGAAAAGCGTGATGGAAAATGGATGGATGGGTTTGTATCAGGACAGAAGCCATCGTGAAATAGGCACTGCTGCTGTTTAACAAGTGACCTCAGGCTGCTAGATTGTTTGTCCTGTCTCCTGAACGACGGTGCGGCCCAAGGATGTCTTTAATTATTTGTGTTATCTCTATGCCACTGCAATGTACTTTAACTCTTTTTCTCTTCTCATGTACAGCACTTTAAATTATCTTTCCATTGAAATTCGCTACAGAAATAGACTAGCAGCTCTCGGGTGGCACCGTGAAATGGGCGGCACCCACAGTGGAAGAGCTTGACAGCTTGACATTGAAGGCAAGTATCTTTCTTCCAGAGTAGAAAGAAAATAAGTAATATTTGATAACAAATAAAGGTAATAAAGTGCTAAAGTCAAAATTTCATCATATATTAAGCACATTGAAAGGCTTAAAAAGGCATATGGTATAAACCCTTTAAATCAGGGATGTCAAACTGGTTCCAGAAAGGGCAGTGTGGCTGCAGGTTTTCTTTCCAACCAAGCAATAGCACACTAGACTCCAGTCATCTCATCAAGTCATCATTTTCAGATTGGACTCAGTTGATGAGATGACTGGAGTCTGGTGTGCTATTGCTTGGTTGGAAAGAAAACCTGCAGCCACACTGCCCTTTCTGGAACCAGTTTGACACCCCGATTTTAAATACTTCAACTACTAGAACATGGTAAGGACGATTACTTTCTATTTTCTCCTCTTATGTAAAAGTTTAAAAATGGAAGGCAGTCTTCTTACTTTTTTCTCACACTTGTTTGTTGACACAGTCCTCACCTTGCCTACAAATTGCAGAGCTCTGCAGGAGTGCGGAATGATGATGAAAAAATTCATTAGGAATGTTGTGGAGGAAACTGTGCTGATAGCTGCAGCCAGCAGAGTCCTCCTGACACCAGCGCTCAGGTAGCACTCGCTTCTTCTCACCGCCTGTCTCATCTTGTTTAGCGAGAGCTCTGCAGCAGCGTTCTCTCTTAGGAGACACCCTGCCCACTTTTAGACGCTTGGCACACAATTTAACTAAAATAATCTGTGCTTCATGTTGAGACAAGAGCCAATCTCATAGATTGCAGTCCTAGATGTCTATCTTAATGAAACAAGACAAAGATATGTGCCTCCCCATTTAATAATACAGCATGGGCTCCGAGCAGGAAGAGCATGAGACGATTATACAGCCAGAGGCACAGCTGGGGAGAGATGCTTGTTTCTGCTACCTTCGATTTAACAGCCGCTGAGATGCAGGGCGGAACATCCACAACATTATAATGCCCACTTTACATTCTAGAAATATGCTTAAAAAAGAGAAAATTACACTGATTAAGATCAAAGGGTGATGGTCTGGGCTAGTTGTAGCTCATTAAGAAGATTCTTTTTCACATGTTTAATATTGTGCTCTAAATTTAGAGATGCACCACAATGTTTTTATTTTATATATACTTTATTGCTTCACCAAGGAGGTTATGTTTTTGGTCGTGTTTGCTGATTTGTTAGTTAGAAGGTTTACTTGAAAATTTATGAACAGATTTTAATGAAATTTTTACCAGAGGTGTGCCTCATGCCAAGCAACAGTCCATACCCCTCCTCCCCAACACATTATTTTCTTCTAGGTAAGAACATGGGGGATAGGTCACCGAAAGTTGCTCGTTGTTTAAGACATATAAACAATATGTATG